GCTCACAGAAAACGGAATCGTTCAACGATTTGAAATTCCAAGAACATAAAGTGGAAATCAAATCAAAGCCGTCGGCTGAATCTGCTGAGTCAAAAAGACGGAAGAAGGAGAAAAGTGATCTGCACATTGATGAGGGCACAGCTCTCAAGGAAATGAGTAAGGTGATTACCATGTGGTACTTCAGGGGGTCTAATGTCACACAGCTAAATCTGTAGTTCCATTTCAGCTCTATCGTGACCTTCTGGAGAGATTTGAAGAGCTTCGTCAGAAGCAGGAAGCTCAGGTATGGGACGGTTTGAGAAGAGCTCGGTTTTGCACCGTGTGCAGGGCACGCTCTGACGCTGGGGATAAGTTTTGGTAATCAAACCCCTCATCAAAACCCCTCCCTTGAACTTCCTTACGACCCCCCCCCTTTTTTTCCCTTACCTACAAGTACACGTCCTAGTGCTGGGAAATAATTCCTCAGAATACGAGGCCCATAATACTTTGCCACTTCACCGGACATTTCTCCAGTTTTTCCTCCAAAAAGCTTGTTAGGGGGAGTGAGCAAGAGCATGTAGCTCATATGATACGGAAAAATAGAGAAATGTCAGGAAGATTAACACGCCCCTCCCTCCTGTAAGGGAATAGACCCTTCCCGAGCTCTGGTGAAACCCAGAAGCACGACGTACCCCGCTACTTTCCATTTTACCGACTTTTCGCACTTTCCAACGATTTTCGGAGTTTTCCGGGAACCTCACAAGTCACTTCAACTTGTCTCGCAAGTGCGCCTAGCGGATGAGGAGGGAGTAGACGTTGCACAGGATTTTGTCTGTGTCTCTAACTAGAGGGGCGGGGGCAAATTTTCTCAAGCCAACTGTGACCCTCTAACTCCAGACCAAATTCGACCTTCCTAGTGGACATTTCCCGGCGTGTGACGTGTTCTGGCTGTGCCGCCTTTCAGTAACCTAACCCTTTGCCCCAGATGAGCGCCGAATCGGACAGCACCCGCCTACGTCGACTAGCTAGGAAGGATCCGTCAGTTACAGAGGCTTTACACGATGTCATAGAAGCTATCAAAAAAGCGATTCATGACTTCAAAACATGTGCGGTACGTGTCCCTACTGTAACCTCCTGATGTTTTTCCTCGCTGAATTTCCCATTTTTCAGAATTTAGCCGGTGCAATGCTGCCAAATGCTACGCTACATGAACGTGAACTTAGTCACATACTGCTTGAACTTCAATGTGCTTCCATTCATGAGTGATTTGAACATATTTATTGTAACAGCCAAAGCGATTTTGTATGTCGTGCATAAAAGACGTTTTGGTTTCAAAAATCGAAAAAATGCGCACACTGTGAAACCTTAGGATGTGAACTGCTGTTGTGAACTGCGAACAGGGTTGACAAAGTTCATGCAGAGATCGCATCTATAATAACATCCTACTATATATAATTCGCTAAGTTTGTCTGTTGGTGTGTGTGTGTGTGTTGTGAATGTCTGTGTGTGTGTTTGACCGGAAATTCATAACTTCCTTCAAAACAGCGATAATGCGCTCAAACTGATAGATGATGTAGGAGGTCGGGCAGGAACATTATTGGTGGGTGGCAGGAAGCGATAGCAGTTGATAAGATACCATAAGGGGCCGTATAAAGGCGAAGTCAGCAAATTCATAACGCGCGTCACAGCAAGACTAGAGCGTTGGTTCCAAGAAGTAAGATAGGGAGGCAGGGACAGTTGACATTATTGGTGGGTGGCAGGAAGTGATAAGAGCTGATAAGATACCACAAGGGGCCTTAAAAAGAGTGAGCTACCTAATTCATAACACCGGCCACAGCAGCGATGGGACGTTGATTTCAAGAAGTTAGATAGGGGGCAGGATGGGAACATTATTGGTGGGTGACAGGAAGTGATAAAGCTGAATAAGAACCACGAGGAGCCTTGAAAAGAGTGAGTTACCTAATTTATAACACCGGCCACAGCAGCGATGGGATGTGGGTTCCAAGAAGTTAGATAGGGGACAGGATGGGATACATATTGGTGGTGCAGGACAGATACACTGCTGATAAGCTGTTATCACGTCCTGCCACCCACCAACTGATAAACTTCAGCACCGGTGCCCAAGGAACAATGGTTAGAGGCTTCGTGAGTCAAGTATTCTATCCCTTAGCGATATGGTTACGACCGCTAAGCTCTCGAGTTTCGACGAAAATTAAAAGCTCTTGGAAGCTGCTCAACGGAAGTACTAGGAATGGTGGAGAAATGTGAGGATATTTTCAGCTATGCCCTATCGGATCGTTATTAACCATCGAAAGTCTTTCAACCGCTAAGCTGTCCTATTTCCAACGGATGGTGAGTGTTTCTTAGAAATGTGATAAGCACCAGACATTAGCAAACGTTCATTAAATAGGAGAATCATAATGAAATAGGCCGTATTCTAAAAAATTGTAATCGGGCGAAGTGTTCGGGGTCAATACAGGAATCCTGTCAGCGCAGTACCATTACCATAGGTTCAACCATCGCCATAGTGCGCGTGCAGCCAAGCTTGTGAGAATTATATTGGCCATATTGGCTTTTTCTGTAAGTGTGAAATGAGGATGCACAGGAGAAAAGCTGGTCGAGAAAGATGCCGCAGACCAGACAGAGAGAACAGACAGACAACAGCCAAAACAGACAGACAGACAGCCAGACAGAAGCTACAGGCGCGTGTTGCAAGGAAAAGCAAATGCAACACTCGTATCGAGGCCCCGAAACTTTTGGCAAATTTGGGAATCTGTCTATCTACCAGCTGGGCCACACCAGCTTTTCCACTCGAGCTCAATTCTTGTTCTTTTCACTGCGCACCGTACTCCAACACCTATGCAGTCCAACAGCACAAGCAAGAAAGTGTCCGTAACTTCATTCCGAGAATCCGTGGCAGATTTGGAAGCCAGAACTTAAAGGCACTTGGCACGATCATCTGGTGCTCGGTCTAAAATGCTAGTAGGGCGCTATATAGTGGGAAATGGCGAAAGAACGGAGTGAAACGGTCAAAATCCTGCGAAGAAAGAGCCTCCATTCTCAATGTGTTAGAAATCACTTTTGGACGAGTCTCCCGCAGGCATCTTGCCAATAACCGCTACCGAAGGTACGGCTGCATATGCACTCATATATTCATGCAGCATCACGGCCGCTTACCAATTCCTTCGCTTCATAATTTGCTTAGCAAATGAATCGATTAGAGCGTCAGGAACGTCGTCCATTTGTGGGCGTCGGACGTGGCGGACTTTTGGGTCGGTACGTTGTGGCTTGATAGGGCTCTCAATAGGGCACCTCCCTTGGAAAAAGGCATTACGCAGCGTCTGCTCAGGGTCGCGGAATTCCGTCTTGCCAGGCGTATCAATCCTTGGGGGATCCGAATCGTCTTGGGGGATTTATCGTGCCAACTGCCTTCAAGTCAGCGCTTTGAAGACCCGGACAGGAGTGTAAATCTCGATCACGTCAAGTTGGTACCTTTTCTTAGCAGTGGGTTACCTACGGAGGGGCAATTGCTGACTATTGGTGTCCCCTAAGAACACCAAGTATGTCAAGTACAATTCGGCCATCACTGCAGCTCTGACGGAACCGGAGGAAGCTCGACTGATGGTCTTATCATTTGGACGAGCGAGCCAATGCTCATCAGAGGGGTTGTGGTGCTTTGTGTTGGTTTCGGATATCTCATCAACGATCATTCTTGAGACACCATCAATTTACAGCCATCTCTTAACTGGATCCAAGTTTTGTTATGTCAACGGCCATGGCGCGGAGGAGAAAAAGGAGGTTTGGCAGCAAATGTAATCTGTCCCTACTTGCCATTCAAAGTAGAAACTTTGCAGCAAAAAGTCAAGCTGCCGATGGTGGGGTGGTCATGGGTTAGCGCATTGAAGCGCCGGAATCTCTTCAAGAACGCTCTTGTAAGTATTGATCTTTATCTGCAAACCGCAGCCTGATCGAGTTCAACTAACGTCCTTTTGCCAAAGACAGCGAGAGGCATCAATACCAAAAACACGAACAAAAAAAAAACGAGATAGCGAAAAATGTGAGAGATCTACAACAGCAGAAGAGTAGCAGGATGGAGTCGGCGGGAGTGAGGTGGTTGAGGTCGAAGCGACGAGTCCAAGGTTTTCCTCGAAAGGAGCAACGAGTCCCCAGGCTTAATTATCCCCTTAAGGCTCACTTAGAGTCACGGCCACTTAGGCCGTAGCACGGGAGACGAGATGGGGGGTAGAAGAGTAAGGCGGAAGTCTTCAGCTTCGTTCCGGGTGAACGAAGCCTACCGGGCGACAATAAAATGAGCATGTTTCTTTCTTCTGACCCTCTCCTTTTATGGGGTCCGCTCCCGCCTCTTTACTCCCCTCAGGCAATTCTTACTCTATTTGCCCCCCACGATCTCCGGGTCTTTGACACCTGCCTGATTCGGGGGCCCGCCTCGGCAGTAAGCTCTTTTAGCGCTACCGTACCCAGTGCATGATCAACCGCCGCTTGCTTCCTTCGGCATGTTCTACTCGCCGTATTGGACCACCTTGCTATCGGAGCCCACGCTCGTGTTCCCTCTTAGCCCCTAAAGGCGCCTTGCGCTCACGGACCGTTCCACACTGCGTCGCGCTCCGACTCCTGTCCTTGACATATCTCATTTGTGCCAACCCATGCTTTTGTGCCACTCTGCTTTTCTGCTTGTCGAATTGCTCTTGCCGACGCTAGAGTGGTTACTTATTGACTAGTACTAATGAAACAGTTGAAGAATACTCATCGTTGAGCAGAGTCCGGGTACCTGAGGGGAGGGGAGAAGTGGGGGGGGGAGAGGGAGGATGAGGGAATAGAATAGGTCATGGTGTTTTCAACACACTGAGACCTTAATGAGCGAAGGGTTTACGTTTTTGTACACGAGTACTTGGAAAAAAGAGCCTTTTCAGGAAATATCAAGATAGCTTTCGGTCGCATATCAGGGCTGGCTCGCGGTACGTTGAGTTTCACGGTTTAGAAAACGACAACACTGGATGTTGTCACGTGCGAATTAAGAACTTCTCAGAAAATGTGAGTGTCGTTCTCTGTTTTCCAATCAATTCGGAAAATTTTACAGCCTTGTCTTTTTGTGGTTATACAATAAAACTAACTAGTTGAGAGTTAGAGGTAGCGCAGGAGAAGCAATGTCACATTCAGTTCGTATTTATGAGTTTTCAAGTTCAGCGAATGCATTTTAGGTCACATTTCAGTGGGTGTGTATGTCTTACCTGCAGGCGCTAAGGGGGGGGGGGGGTTGAAGAAGTTCAATGATATTTGCTCGCTACAATAGTAGAAAATATTTATGTTAGCCAAGCGAACCACAGAGAACCTCAAAATTGGGTAATTAAACATAGGAAAAAAGGAAACTAGGTTAGCAATAGAAAATCCAAGGAGAGTTAGTGGAGGATTAATAACAAAAGAGGAGATTAATCAAATGAAAATGTTAGAAACGCGATCGTGAGTTGATGGGCCCCCTTATATAGTGCGCTGGGTCCAAAGTCCTTTCGACAGGTAGGTCGAACTGGGAGGTCGCGCCAACACCGAGCCGTTAACGATGCTAATCTGCAACATAAATTTTGTGTAACTATTTCCTCAATGCTCTTTCCACATTAATCGGAACAATAAGTTTAAATATTACATTTTATCTTGTCGACATTCGTCGACAGGTGGGGGGGGAGGGGTG